ACTTTGGTTTTTATTGCGGTATAAACAAGGTCCTAAGCCTGCTGTGATTGATGGGAGGTACCTTATCAAAACACCAAAAATATAATTATACTAATGTCACGAGCACTTTATTAATCAAAGGTCATTTTCTGGTCATCAATGTTGAAGGTTTTGTCTGCATTTATAGGTATTTGTACTCGATTATACATATTATTTTCACATTTCGGGAAGAAAAATCTAATTAATCTTTAAATCACAGTAGGACATATATTGATGACAGTTTGGAGTACATTGCCAAATCGTCAGGTTCGAAGCAATGACACATAATAAGTCTATACGGCGATATGGGTCTTTCTTTGATAAAGTACAACAACTTAACTCTTTTCAAAACTGAATTCAATTTGTTCGTTGTTGGCAGTAACATAACATATACAGGTGTGTCTTATGACAACTAAATATACCTGACTATCACAGTACAGGTGTGTCATCTAACGATCAAAGATATATCTTACTGTCACGATACAGGTGGTGTCATCTAACGATCAAAGATATATCTTACTGTCACGATACAGGTGGTGTCATCTAACGATCAAAGATGTATCTTACTGTCACGATACAGGTGGTGTCATCTAACGATCAAAGATGTATCTTACTGTCACGATACAGGTGGTGTCATCTAACGATCAAAGATGTATCTTACTGTCACGGTACATGTGGTGTCATCTAACGATCAGAGATATATCTTACTGTCACGATACAGGTGGTGTCATCTAACGATCAAAGATATATCTTACTGTCACGGTACATGTGGTGTCATCTAACGATCAGAGATATATCTTACTGTCACGATACAGGTGGTGTCATCTAACGATCAAAGATATATCTTACTGTCACGATAAAGGTGGTGTCATTTTGTGATCAAAGATATATCTTATTGTCACGATACAGGTGGTGTCATCTTGTGATCATAGATATATCTTATTGTCACAATACATGTGTGTCATCTTTTGATCAAAGATGCGCTTTAAGGCTTCGATAATGGAAAAACCATCACGGCTAAAATCGTCAATCAGATTGGTCAGTTTGTATTAAAGTTATTATACTAATAATAATGATAATACATTTTATTTTCTGAGGATAAATCCTGTTAAGCAAAGCGTGTCTTCCACAGGGTCGTCTTGTTAGTAAAATATTAGTTAGTAAAATCACTTAGTACAATTTCAACATTATCACAGACATAATTGCAAAACATCTTATATTAATAAATTGTTTGCCAGAAATGTGGATATTGGTATATATATATATATCTTAAAAAGAGAGTACATGTGACAGCTTATAAAGATCAGGGCTTGCACATTAAACAATTAGAATTATGATATGCATGCAGGTAGTCAGTAAAATAACTATCACAATTACTATGCTAGAAAGAGTGGGAGTAAACCGGTTTATCACAGGAAATATAAAAGTTATTTTGAACTAAACCCCATGCGATTGCCTTCTAAACACACAATTTACGTTTGAAACGTGCGGTAACGTTTCAATATTGATTGGTCCATTTGTCAACATTGGACTGAGTGAGAAAAGGAACCAGTCGGTCTTGAAACTTTGAGACACGTTTGCTAGTACATTTGTTGTGTATAATATAAAATAATGGTACTTAAGACTAAGATGCAGATGTGGTCTTTATCTTTCTTTCTACTCCTAACAACCTTTTATTTCCTAGCGCCTTGCTTGGCTTGGTGTTAAAAATGGTAGCTGTTGTTCCAAGCTTAACGTTCAGCATTAAAGGTAATGACAACAACTGGTTCACCCGTTGTCAGTATAATGTGACGGGGTGGAATTCTGTGCTGGATGCCTTCGGCATGGTATTTCAGTGAGATAGCACTATAAAGTCGGTATCAGATCCGCGCTATCACAAGGAGACAGATACACCAACATAACCTGTCTCCGGCACACATATGCACACACACAAGCATGCTCGCATACACAAAACACATTGAGGCACGTCCTTAAATGACCTAAGCTGTTAATAGGACGTGAAACAAAATAAAACCAAACCAGATGCGGTCATCTGATTATCTAAGATTTGCTCGACTGCTATGGTTGGTGTGCTGCCAATCGTTGACTTAAGATGAAAAATATTCAGACGGTCGGTCATATAAGTTCTATAATGCACTACACAGCGATAGAAGATCAACCTTGCTGTTCAACCTAACGTGTAGGAGTAAAAGTTAAACAGTAAATTGTGTAACGTTTGAGACAGTTGAATAGACATCTTTGCCGTACAGCTATATTTCATTATATGTTTCGAAATATTTTAGACATGTAAAAAATGTCTATCATAAGAAAATATTTAGCAATAGTCACACTTATGTTACATTCATATTTGAATACGAATATTTGTGAACTTCCTGTATTCCAATATGGATATGACATAAAGGTTAGGATAATTTTATCCCTGATGAAGGGCTAAGCCCGAGAGCTTCGACGAAGAGTGACTATTGCTTTAATGACCATATGGTGCAGAACAGGTTCACTTTGTACTGGTTTCCTCATTGGCTTACTCATTTCTTTAATAAGTCATTCACTATTTTTCATTACTAGTGATGTTATGTAATGATGCGAAACAGGTTGTGCAGGTTTGGGAAAAGAATAGAAAGAATATGTCTGCTTTATCATACAGCATGTTATCGTAATAAGCACTAAATACCAGACACAATGCAGAATATATTTTCCCTATTCTCTGTCTTCCACTTAGAAGAAACCAAAAATGTATCGCATACCCCAATTGCGACGCTTGGTGTTTTTTTCTGCCATTCACTTCGCTTCTCTTTCTTTTCATGGTTTATGCCTGGATCCTTGTGTTTATATTACATGTACCTTATTTGTTACGAGGATGTTATCCAAACAAATAAACAAACAAATACGCAAACGATACAGGTGTTGTCATTAAGCATTTAAAGATTAAAATAAATGTGTATACAAGTGTTGCACTAGGTTCATAAAATATATATCTAACTGTAGGTATCGACATCAGACTTACAAATCAATCATAGTGAGAAATACCTCCATATATATATATATCCATAATCATAACATATAAAATATTAGCAATCCTATATAAAACTAACTTAATATAGCATATAGAAGGACGCCATCTCCATATGTCCTAACCTGTTTCGAGGATAAACATGTTCATTTATGCATCAAGAACTACTTAGATTTCTTGGGTTTTTTAATGGTGCAGCAGTTAACGAATCGTGGCTGAAAATTTCATAACATCTCAGAACGGTCACTTGTTCACAAAAGCATTGACCAAGTCGAATTTTCAGTGTTCCGTTGAGTCGAACGTCTACCGATATTAAACTATTTAACTTATACCATATACGTGTATGTAATTTTCTGATTCTATTTCTTTTTTGCTATGTTGCAAATCACAGCTTAATCACAGGTGTATGTGATTGTGCGTTTATTTTCTCTAGTTGGTTAAGTATAAATGAGGGGGAAAATCAGGTTTTGAAGCCTTGTTTTTCGCAAATGATTTATATCGTCTCCAGAATAAAAGATTTCCATTGAAAATTTAAGACAGACCAACAAATTTCAAATTCGTGAGATAGCTAATTAAGGATCAATGCTCCACTGTTTTCTTATTTTCGTTTAGACAGTGACCTCAGTATAATGTGACCGGGTGGAACGTCCTGCTGGGTGTCTTCGGCAGTATGTTTCAGTAAGGTGGCACAATAAAGTCGACATCAGTTCCGCGCTATCACAAGGAGACACACACGAACATATCGCAGCCACCCAAAACACACACGCATACACTTCACGCATGCATCTTGCACACAGGGGAGGCCGTCCTTAACTGACCATAGCTGTTGATAGGACGTTAAACAATGCTAAACCAAATCAAACCAAACCTCCATTTTAGTTCGTTTTGATAAAACTATAACCAGTTGAGCAGAGCCACTTCCGTTGACCACGTATAGCTCCGTCGGATAGACAGATGATACATAGTAAACACATCTGATATCCAAAGTTCGATTTCCGGTCCTTATCCGCTGAATTTTCGATCTAAGCACTGTTGCTGTTTGCGATTTGTTTATAAAAGTCCCGAAATGTATGTTTTTCTTGTCAGAAATGATTCATCAGAGCTATATTCCTGGCGAAAATACACTTTCAAATGCGTAATTATAGATTTTAGAAGTGGTACGGGAAAACGTAACGTAAATTTCATGTCTCAAATTCTTTATTTTTCTGTAAGTCAAGTAGTTCAATTTTGTCTAATATTATTATCATTTCCATGACCGCGTTTCATGTAATCATTCTATTATTGTATATCAGTTCGATAAAAAAAAATCGTTTGGCCATAACTTGCACAAACCCAGAAAATACGTGACCCTCGTTAGATAGACACTTTAGAATGTTTACCTGTTAAACGTGACTCGTTATCATGTGACGATGGTCTAGGGGATCGGTTACCTTACTACGGAAAGGTGGTTCACAAACAAATTCACAAACAAACCCCCATTTTTGGTAAACACCATGATTTCTCTGCTTCATTTTCTAAATAAGCTCGTATCTCTCAAGTGGTCAAGTAAGATTGACGGCATAGACTTCGCGCCGGAAGAAATATTTCATTCCCCGTATCAGTTGGGTTGGAACACTTTAACGCTACAGTGATGTATACAAGTAAAGATACTAGAAAATGGGAAAGGTAATTGGGAGGGATATCACTATATTTAACCACAGAGTACCCAAAAATAGCCACAAGCACACTCACCTGTGTAGCGGTCGACATGGAAACCGATTACGAGTGGGCTAACCAGAGTATAAAGGGAAGGTCGTGATGCGACGATATTTATATATATATATAACTTTCAGAATAACATATCTAAATATCTCAAATCTTTAACGTTACAAGCTGCCTATATCTTTATATCTCAAAATTGCAGTACGCTGTATTACCATACAGTCAAAGTTATACTCTGGAAACAGCAGGATCAGTATGGATTCAGTCAGTGACTTGTTCTTCTATTCAAGTTTGGGATTTGAAGAGCTGTTTTAGAAACTCTCCATTTTTTTCTCTGGACAACTTTAAGTTTGTAAGTCTTATAAGTGTTTCTTTAGCAACATTGCTGGATTTTTGTGTTACCTTGACATTTCGGTCTTAATTAGAGATTTGGACACAGGTGATCTGCTTACCTGTTTTGTATTACATTGTGATCTGCGTTATCGAAGAGATTGAAGAAGCCACTGACATTAAACATTATGAGGTAAGAAACAATCATATAAATAAGATTTAAAAACAAACAAGTTCGCAGCCACTCCTCAGGTAAGTACGCCAAATTGATTGTCAAATAAATCTTTGTTTTATAAATGTTCTGAAAGGCACTATGACCATGGCAAAGACTTACACATGCCCCTAGCATCGCCGACAAGTCCTAGAAGGACGAACCAGTTGCATCAATAAAATTTATATTTTGGCAAACTTTATCTATTACCAAATTTTGAAGGTTCAATCACATGCATGTTAGTTACATATACATCTACCTGCATTTAAAGTAATTTGGTAAATTACTTTCATCAAAGAAGATAACATTAAGTTTACAGATACACTGATTAAAATTTCGTCTTCCTCTTTATTACTTATGGAGAAAATAATGCAATATGACAATTGTTTTAATATTAGGTTTCAAATATTTAGACCATAAACAGAAACAAAATTAAAATAACGTTAAACTACAATATTTTTTTCTCTCTAAAATTCAAGAGAGGCCTCATACTCGAACTTTTACCTAACAATTCGGTAACCGCAGTCGTAGGAATAAACAAACATTGTTCGGCTATGCCCAAATGATGATGTTTCAAAAAGATTGCGCTATGTGAATAAGTACACAATGTCACATAAATTTAAAAGTATTGTGAAACTTGAATCGTCTTGATCAATAATATCTCTTTACCAACACGAACGATTGTCTAAGGTTCACATTTTTACATTATACTTGTATCCACCGGTTAATGGAATGATCTTGCTTAGCATTCAATTACATTTCTAGGGGGCCAATTGTTGCATTCGCCCATTTGCATACTACAAGTTCAGCCTAGAATACACTCCTGTATTACAAAACATCTGTTTACGTGAAATCGAACCGTGTTTATTTTAATGCTAATTTATGTGATGTTTAGCTCGGTGTTAAAACACAGTCCTCACCACTGTTCCCTTGTCGTATCAACTGGACTCGTAGGCGTTAATAAGTGAAACATTACGTGCCCTTTCAGTATATAGAGTTTCAAATACCAATGCATTTTCGTTGATGGTTATGACGTACTAACAAGAACCAAGCTGTTGCGAGGACGTTTAGCCCAAAACAAACTAATTCATTGATGACTGTAAGCCAGATCTTCAAACAAACATACAATACATCGACCAGTCGATGCTCGGGGGCATCAACGTAGGAGAAGGGTATTTCGAGGAAAGGAAGTCTATTATCGATTGCTTTCAAAAATATTTAATGTATTTTTCAAAAGCTTGTGTTTACCAGGTTATAAAATTGCTCGTTTATATAGCTTTACCATTCTGCTTTTCTCTTTAAATAGGAGGTAGGTTATAAAATTTGTCGTTTGTAAGACGTTACAATCTTGATTTCGTCGTGACACTTGAGGTAATGCAATTAGTCGTTTATACAACTTTACCATCCTGATTTCTTTGTGACATACGAAGATATAAAATTGGTCGTTTATACAACATTTCCATCCTGGTTTCCTCGTGACATTCGAGGTTATAAATTTGGTCGTTTATACAACTTTACTATCTTCGTGACATAAAAGGACAAAAAAATGGTCATTTATACAACTTTATAATTCTGTTTTTTTCGTGACACACGATGCTATCAAATGGTCGTTTATACAACTTTACCATATTGATTTCCTCGTAACATTCGAGGTTATAAAATTGGTCGTTTATACAATTTTACTATCTTTGTGACATAAAAGGACATACATTTGGTCATTTATACAACTTTACTATCTTTGTGACATAAAAGGACATAAAATTGGTCGTTTATACAACTTTACTATCTTTGTGACATAAAAGGACATAAAATTGGTCGTTTATACAAATTTACTATCTTTGTGACATAAAAGGACATAAAATTGGTCATTTATACAACTTTACTATCTTTGTGACATAAAAGGACATAAATTTGGTCATTTATACAACTTTACTATCTTTTTGACATAAAAGGACATAAATTTGGTCATTTATACAACTTTACTATCTTTTTGACATAAAAGGACATAAATTTGGTCATTTATACAACTTTACTATCTTTTTGACATAAAAGGACATAAATTTGGTCATTTATACAACTTTACTATCTTCGTGACATAAAAGGACATAAAATTGGTCTTTTATATATTTTATTATAATGATTTGTTTGTGACATACGAGGGGAGACATAAAGTTTGTCGTTGATATATTTTCATTATCCTGATTTGTATTGTGACATACGAGGACATACAATTGGTCGTTTGTACAATTTGTACCATACTAGTTTCTTCACGACATTCTGATTCAAGGTCCCGGCTTATGTCATGTAAATGGTCCTATTACATTCACGGTCTATTGAAAGGTCATGACACACATGTATATACATAGGTCTAATAAGTAAGAATGATATTATGATCGGGTATAGACAACAGATTGAAATAAAGTAATTCTTTATATACGTGTCACGTAAATTGGAGTAATAGCGACGTTGCAGACGAAATAATTTGTGCAACTATCGCTGATATCCTTTTCTTTTTCAGCAGACAGACGAAAATAACTAAATTTGATGTGTGTACTTAGCACTTCAGTGATAACGACAGTACACAACCCCCAGTTGTTAATTACTCAGACCTACTCATTTTTATGGGCTTTTATGTAAGTTTGTCAGTAATAGAAATGTGCTGTATAAGACCATAGCAATATTTGCTAAAATATTTCTTATTTTTATTTAAATTTTGATAGAGTTGTTATGATTTATTTATTTATTTTGAATAGCCAATCAAGTGTTTTCAACAATGAAATCGATGACGTTACAATAGCAAATAGTGTTATAAACTCATACCTGTACCAACATTTGCTTTCGCAATGCATAACAATGGCAGGATACAGATTTATATATTTGATAATATAAGTCTCCAACTGTGTTCACATTAATCAATACAGCACGAATTTTCTTGTGAAATTTCTTAGAGATAAATTTTATTTTTAGTATATTTAATTCATTCTTTAATATTCTGTTCTCGTTCCATAAATACCATATATTAATAAACCTCATCTTTAAGACAGCGTATCTGATTGGATGATACTAGTCACATGACGGGGCAATAAAACATGTCGCCCTCACGCGCTCACGTTTCCATGATGTGAAGCCTCTCTAGAAAAACCCGCAAAGGCCACCACAACTTAGTTCCGAATGACGGAAACAAACCACAACAATGGCGGCCAACCTGATCATCTCTACTACTGTGATTTGATTTTGATTGAAAGATTGGTTTTCGGCATAATGAAATATGTACAGCCCTTACAGTAGGGAATCGCGGTTCTTTGTTTCTTTTCGATTAATTAACGCAGAGGAAACAAAACATCGTGTTTCCCTACAGTAGGAGCAAGGATTGGCTAAAATTATTGGCATAATCGAAGGTTTTCTGCTGATGGCACACTAAGGCAAGATTGATTTTATGTTTTCTTTTCTCTCTTTCCTACTCTTTTTTTCTCTCTCGGAGGTCTCGTCGTAGGCACCAGTCTTTATTTTACCCTATTGAGACGAGGACGTTAATCCCTATAGGAACATAATAGCTATAACAGAAAACTATAAAGGGAGAACTATTGTCATAATAAATATCCCTAGATATTCACATGTTATCGATCTAAAATGTCTGTATCATTAAATTTCCAGGAATCTGACGTCGGAAATCTGTCGACTTAACGACATACTCGATTGTACACCAGCATGTAGAATCGCCTATCGTCACTTAAAGATGCATTAAAACAGCTTTAAAACTTAAAAAATGCACGAATTCTATCGATTTCAAGTAACAATGGATTCAATGCGTACGTTGAATGACGCCATTGATATTTACAGTTTTTGAAACAACAGAGGATTTGATGTTTTTATTTACCGAGACAAGTTTTACTAAGTTCAAGGAATGTTTATGTTTTTGTTAATGTCTGACAGAGGCGTCCGTACGTCTCCAGTTGTTACTTGTGTCCTTGTCACTATAATATTTTCTAACCTCATAACAGACTCACGTTTAGATTTCTTTGTAAAAAGAATTAAAATCAAAAACTTAGAAAGACCCGGGGTATAATTGTTTGCATCTGTAAAATTAAATACATTTGTTTTATAAACTAGACATGTTACAGGGACCAGATTTGATGGATTGTGTTCGAATTTCCATTGTCTGAAATCTAGATATCCATTTCTCCCACGACCATTACCTGTTTCCTTATTCTCGACTCATTGAATTAGGAGTTGGTAAACATTTTGGTTATCCACTAGTGGGTAACACCCTGGACGTTTGACCATTGATCAATCTTCTAATTATGACATTAAGTAACAATGCTGCTTTCCAACGTCATTTTCCACTGTGACGTCATAGTTCATAGCAACTGTTGAATGGTTGAAACATACAATTTTCTAGATAAAATATATAAACTTTGTCAGAGAAACAGGTCCCCAAACTCGTGATGGTTGATTATCATGTTTACCTAACTCTCTTTAGTAAACTTTCCAATTGTAAAACACACTCGGTGAACATCGTATCTTTATACAATTGCAAGTTCACTAATTTGACCAACCATCACTCGTTGGAAACCTCTATATATCTTTATATATTTACATACTCGCTAAATACCACTAAAGTGACATAGTCAGTTTTTAATGCCAAACAAAACAAGTTCAAATTTTACAAAACAAGAATGAGATATTACCGTAATAACCGGATCCTTATTTTGGCTGTAAACCTCTGATGAAATCGACGGATTGGATTGTGCATGGGTTCTTAATGTTTCACAGCGCTGTTTAACACGAAGTTAACGTGACGTCATCTTTCGTTTCGGACGCTATTTTGTCGTACATTGATGTTTGGTTCAATATTTCGGGAAGTAGTTTCAATATCAAAATATTATATTGAATAATAGGAATATTCAAAACAAATGCTACTGTCATTGTTATGGTATTAATATTTTATTGCATCACAATTGTGTCGTATCTAATTGTAAAGATTTAACAATGTTTAACATATTGAAATGCTGAGTACAATACATTATGTTTTATTAGAGTGACATGTGCTTTCATAAGGATTTTCGAAATTTTTACCATTCTTTCAGAATTTTCTAGCACCCGACACAAAATGGGTAGATTGCTCATTTCGATTTATTAAATTTAGTCTATTACACTATTAAATACAATAAAATGTTAATATCATCATTAATTATATTAAAATACTGAGTACATAAAAGATTATACTCATCGTTAACAAATATAGTATATGACGATAATGGATACATTATACTGTTGAGTATATTACAGAGTTAAATATATTATAATTTATTATATAACAATATTGAATGTTTAAAAATGTTGAATATGATAAAGAAATTGAGTATATGGTAATGTCAAGTATATCAGATTTTTTTGTTATAAACTGAATATTGATTATATAAAAGTGTTGATCATATTACAGACGTTAGTGCATTCCATTTTAGTATATTACAATATTAAATATACATTAACAGTTGTCTGAATAAGGAGTCGTTTGGTAATAGTCAGTTGAGTAATATTCTGTACAAAATATTATTAAACTTTATTAAACGACCACTTTTCTTAAACGACCGGTTTTTTATTTTCCCTTGGGTGGTCGCTTATACAGATTCAACTGTATCTAAATGTTTAATATATTACATAAATATGTAAATTAGAAGTAACCATATTCCATATGTTCACCAATTAGTATTAAGCAATGTTAAGTATGTCAGATATACAACTTTTGAGCATCTTTCAGAAGCTGGTACATTTCATTTTAGTATATTACAATACTGAGTAACTTATACTATTGAGTGTTTTATGGGGCTAAGTTTATTATAATTTAGCATTTTACAATATTCAGTATATAATATATATATAAATATCATTTAATTTTAATATTACAATGCTATGTATAATAAAGTATTAATATTATTACAGAGTGAAGTATATTATAATCTGATATATTACAATATTAAGTAATTTATTGAGTATACCACAGACGTAGATTATTATAGTTTAGAACACTACAAAACTTAGTATAGCATTAAGTTAACGAGTATTACATTGTTCTATATAGTGTTTGGTATAGTCTGTTGTTTATATCACAGTGTTGCGTATGTCATTGAATTTAGAATATTGCAGTGTTTAGTGTATTACGGCAGTGAGTTAGCAACAATGTAAAAGTAAATAACATGGTTGGATAACATGAACATGGAAACATAACAACCTTATTAATTAATTCAGTTATCAAAATTATTTAGAAATTTTGCGCAAAATATTGACATTTCATGATATTATAAAACAAGACATGAAATATTCCATTTAAAAGTTGTTATCATTCTGTCAGATCTACTTATATAATGTTACAATCAAATCATAATAAGACAATGTTCAACTACAAATGTAGAATCCAGTTTGGAGAAAGGATATACCAGGGGTTTTCCTACATGGATATGAGGCAACTTATGTGCGACCCCTGCAGAACCAGAAGTTTTCTTCTTTAGTCGTTGCTAAGAGACGCTGATGAAGCAGCCAAATTGATCTACAGCGTCGGACAGTTTTTATAATGCCCTTTTATCTACGACGATTTTTTTCCTATAAGCCTATGTTTTCTGGAATATTTGTTTACTTATTGTCATCTAAATAGCATTAGTCCTAATGTGTTAATTAGAGCCACTAATGTGATCCATTCTTTCAATGTTTTTGAAAGAAAAAACAAGTTTGCGTAGTACTTCAATTCAGTACTTGCAATTACGTTGTATTTAGATTAACACATGATTTAATTTACATCAACAATGCTGAATCCTTTATCTGTGCTACAATGTGGGATTCATTATCTGTTTTGGGTTAACAACATAAAAGTTCTCTCAGTGTTCAAACATGCATAGTCATTCGTTAACAAGCTTGCTCGTTATTTAAGGTATTTTGTCAGGTGACAAAGATTGCCTATAGAAACGATGATTTTACACCTTGTGTTTTATTCGCGGAGAGTTCCTTAACCGCAGCATTTTATACAATAGTCAGAAAATGATCAAACATCTTCTCCTAACACATATAATTACACCAGCCTTCAGTCAGCTTTCGGTCAGACGATCCTTAATAAAACATACGGCTTCTGGCTTGGCACTTTTTGCTTTTTTAGAAGTGTTAATTTGATAGATACACAAGCATGGGAAACGCGAGATCTTTTATACTAACAATGTACATATCAGAACAATGGCGTTCGCGTATTTTCCGCAAACAAGCGCTCTCTGAAAAATACGAACATTGAGTTTTCCGCCGACTATCCCGCCTCTATAACTAAGTTCCATTCAAGATTGCCAATGTATTGCCCCATTCTTGTCATGTGTCATGGAATACGTTTATTCAAATACACGTAAAGTCAATATCAGGTTATAACTAACTCAGATTTTTCTCGAGATTCTCAATGAGTGTGAACATTTACGTGAGGAAATAACTTCCGGTATAGTTTAAGATTATGCGTGTGTGACGTAGCGGGAAAGATGTATGCGATCATGTGAAGGAATGGATGTGATTTCATTTTCAAAGTAAATTCTTTACATTTATTGTCTTTGGCTCTGGTCATTAGGTGTATTTATCAACCCAAACACCGACCAAAACAAAAATTCAGCATGAGTCAGACTTTATTTCTATCATCTACTGAAAATGGTACAGAATTATAAATATTACATGCACACGGTAATGAACGAACAAGGATTTAATTATGACGTCATCATGAAAATAATAGCATGACGTCCTTCTCAACAGTGATGTGAGGCGACGTTTACATTTTGTGATCGCCGTGAGAATCGTGTTTTTTATTTAATATTCATTTTGTATTTCATATTTTGGACAAGGTAAAGATCTTTCATATATATACTCTGTACGTGTATGTATGTAAACTTGGACATTCCGGCCTCTTACATCAAAAATTTTAAGGAAAACATTTGCAAACTCAAGGGTACTATTCCAATTCCTATGAGTCAAATCTCCATTTCTTCTATACGAACGAGTCATTTAACTCTTAATGAACCGAGCTACGATAAAAAAAATTATTATTGGACTCGGCTATCTGTGAAAAGTGACACGTAGTATTTCAGGTAGACTTTACATGTGTATATAAACTACGGTACCAGTCAGAAATTATTTGTATCATGTATTCAAATGAGTTATCAGAAATATTGTTGGCTTTTCTTAAAAAACAAATACAAAACACATAGCATTCTGTTTTCATACTCTTTAATAGTCAATGATTCTTCTTAACTCTAGTATATTTTCTTTTTCAGATTTTTCATTTTACGGACAGTTTACACTAGAATGGTTGACGCATGCGCTTGTCTTATCTTCGCCTCTTTTTTGGGTTTGTTTGCATCCGCCCACGCACAGGACCTCCACAAGGGAACACGAGCGTAAGTAAACAAGCCCCTTCTGTCTCGAGACAAGTCATGACTCGGTTTAAACATTTTATACAAGGTATTTTACGAAGCTTTGTCGAGTCCTTAAAATAAAGTCGACGAAACAAGTAACATAATAAAATACAATATACCAAATTATGTATTAGACGCGTGCTTTTAATATAGTTGCAGAGTATTGCTTACCGTATTTCAAGCACAGCGAAGACAGAATCCAAGCGCCGTATGAAGGAATTTTTTGATAATGTGTTTTAAACATTAATGAATAAAAAAAAAGATCAGGAAAATTATATTCAACTGGTGATATGTAGCTTCCCATGTCTAGTATTTGTTGTATAACATGTAGCATTAAGCGATGAGTTAAACTTCATCTTGTTATAGTAAGTTGTATAAGTTCCTGTATAAAGTGTACATAAAATAAACCATGAACAAATATTCTTTTAAAGTTTTTGTTTGAACAATGCATAACTAATTATGACACCAGATATCAATAAATAAGTCAATAAACAAAGGATTGATCAACTCGATTACCTGTATCTGAGCGAGATGGGGATATCTCAGTCAAGGGCTTAGATTCTGTGACAAAATCTTAAAAATCTAAGCAAAGGTTGCGATGTTACAGAATCTTTGCCTTCCACGTGCACTGAGATAACCCGATCTAGAAATGTAGCTAGTTAATATAGGAAATATGTTATTTTTCTATCGCACCAAACTTTTCAATTTTGTTATAATTTACGAGCATCAGGTCATGGGCTAAACAAATATGGGATAATATTTCTGTTCATTTAAAGAAGCAATTAGAACAAATTAATGCAGAAGCGACCAGAATTGTAAATGGGGCTACTAAATTGACCAGTATAAACAAACTCTCAATTGAAGTAAGATGGAGTACACTAACTGAAAGACGCCAAAAGCATAAACTTATTCAATTTTGTAAAATGGTACATAATCTAACTCCTGAATATCTATCCATCCTTATCCAACCGCAAATAGCAGATACCCATAGGCATAGTACTCGTCAATCAAATAATATTTCATCTCTCCGTTGCAAAGCTAGTTACTATATGTCATCCTTTTTACCTTCCACTATATCATCTTGGAAAAATATGCCAGTTGAAATTAGTACAAATTCCTCTTTATCACATTTCAAGAAATACCACGAAAAAGATGCACGACCGTCCCCTCCTTCTTACTACTATTCTGGAAAAAGAATTGCCCAAATATACCATACCAGACTAAGACTATCATGCAGCACTCTAAATGACCACCTATTTAAAAGACAACTTGTAGAAAGTCCACTATGTACATGCGGGGAAATAGAGGATAATATCCAATACTTACTCATATGCCCGAACTATAATGTTTTACGGCAAACTTACTTATTATCACTACCCCTCAACACCACAACTAATTTGTTATTATATGGTGATATAAATTTACCGGCAGCAGTTAATCTTGATATTTTTACATCTGTACATAATTATATCATGCAAAGCAAGCGTTTTAACTGAAAATATATGATAATCAACGCATGAATACTTATCTTAATTTGTTTTCTATGTAACAGATGTGCTAACAGTATGAGTGAGCGCAATGGGCATGAAACCATATTATGAACAAGTTTCTCATTTTGTTTGTGTTTAGGCGTACATCATTCCGAGGCGTCATTTCCTACTTGAGTATCACTATTCACATTCATCGAAAATTGTTACATTGCTTACATGTCCCCTTTATATTTCTGCCATTCTACGAAATTATTTTATGTATATGCATTATAACCTAATTATTTCAATATGATTTAATGATTACTATATCTGCTGTCAGTATCGTAAATCTAACGTAACGAAACGGACATTGTATAGTACTTATAGTACTTGTTTCCGAATCGTTGTTGAGTATATATTGAAAATATAATGCATTGTATATTTCCAGAAATAAATACAGTTTAAACTAAATAAATAAGGCCTATTCACTCCTAAAGCTACGTTTGAATTCTTCCGCGTAAACATGGAAGTCCCACAATGTGGTTTATATTTCATGTACAAGGAATCGACAGAATAGAATAGCAATCATAACACGAATGTACCATTGGGTTTGCGCTAGGATTTATACATCGCTATGTGAAAATTCCGCGAATCTCGCGTAAAGGTACCCGACAGATCAGTGAGCTAAAATAATGTAGCACGTTGGGTATCCCTTTTTAAGGTGCAAGAGTAAATATAGGACGAAAATCCCGTAAACGAGCAATAACAAAACATGAAAAATAAGCAAGAAGAAAACAAAAATCATAAAAGCAGCTCCAACTCACCTAGCCCAACCTCTCTTTCATGACAAAAAATAAATATCTTCTAAAAAGTAAAGGCTTTATGTCGAGGCAAATCGTTCTAAAACAGCCACAAAACTTTGCATGGGCGTACGAGAGCCACGGAAAACCAACATCCATAGAAAAATAACGTCTGGCACTATATATCTAGACTTTGGTCGATAGACCAAAAGTCATTAATCTATTCCTTTAAACATTGCCCATTGGCATTAGGAACTTCATTGTAAAACATAATCGAAATAAATGTCCGATACATCTCCGTCATAAATAGCTACATGTTTACCTTTTTTCTCTTTGACTAAATCGGTCTGTTTATTTTGTCGACAAAACACATGAGAGGCATGATTCTGTATTAACATGTACTAACACTGGTGGACCATTACCGTTTATTGTTTTCATTATTTCGTTTATTTTTCAAAAACCGATTATTTTTCTCTTTTTATGTTTATTTTTTTTAATTACCGTTGAAAGAGCCAGCTTTACAAATACCATGCAATCGGTGTGGAAATTAATCGAAAGGAATATAATTATACTTCTTTAAATCAACGAAACATATTTAATATAGAGGTCATTTGCAAATATTTTCAACAATTTTAAATTAAGGTCATTTGCAGTATTGATATTAAATACTAGACAGGATATTCATATCTAACTTTAATAATTACAATTAGCTCAAATGTCTTTAATCTCTTGCGAGCATTCGGAGCAATTAAACTCTGGCGAACTGACAATCAAGCCGCAGATATAACCACGGTTGAGAAAGTCAATGAGCTGAAATGATTGGTCGCCATCTGGCCGGAAAAGATTACTTACCATATGGTGGTAAACATTATCTACTAGCGCCATCTGGTGACAAATCAACTCCTGTATGGATGTCAATTATCATAAAGCCTATCATCGGTTATATATCTAAAGACCAATCACTCTAGGAGCTGTTCATTGTCATTTTCTTATTAATTGATTTTTGTCTTGTAATAAAGCCGTCAGATATTTACAAAGGTCATTATGATATTGTCAAACACTCGACTTTATTACTAACAAAATGTCATATCCAATATAACACTCGACCTTTGTCCCAGTTACTCAGTAATATTTGATCTATGGAGCATATCCTACAGGTAATTGTCGTAACTTGTTTGAACAATGTGTTTGCGTCTCGTGCTGTGATGCTGTAACATATAATCATTGACATTGTTTTTACAAAAAAACACTTTGTTTTTTGGATTGATCAAAATCAAGAATTGAATTTTCAGTTTGGTGTCGAACCTTGATGACGTCAGCGTGGAGCTTGTAGATGCGGTGCGAGCGGTACGGAGACTAAAGAAATTTTTAAATGAGTAAGTATAGGACGCTCAGTAATGTAAAACTTAGACTGTTATGTCCATTAACTTTGTGTACTGTATCGTACACAAAATCTAAGTATGCTACTTTAATGTGACAAGTGTATGGTAGATAACACGTAACCAAATTAAAAGTGTGAAATTTTTGGTAAAACGTAAATTTAAAATGTTGTTTTCACAGGCTACTGTGAAAACAGATATTTTCATTGGGGCAAAATTTCGTGGTTTTTCTGACAAAACACCATTCCCTGGGTACATGAATTCGTGGATTACGAGTACCAACTCTAACGCAAAATTGCTTCATGCATATCAAAATTGAAATTACTTCATGGAACTCTGAATTCGTGGATGAAGATAACCCACGAATCCACCAAAATTGAAAACCAATGAAAATGAGTGATTTCACAGTAAGCGTACTGATGAGTACGCTAGAAAATATCTCCCGCCTTTTTCCATGAACTGACATTTCCGGTTGAATAGCTTTTGCATCATTCATAAAAGAAAGATATAAAACTAATGCAAATGATTAATGAAATGTTATAAAATTAGGACGCTTGTCCAACTTCATTTTCTATTTATTTGTCTGTACTTTTGCCCTTTCGCCTGTCTTTCCATGGACTTATATGCGTCTTTTTTTGATAGTGAAGCGCCTTCCTGTCTGGTGTCTGCTACAGACTGTTCTATGGGTTACATTGACCCTATCGAGGGGTTCATAGACGTGGTCAGTAACCCAAACAGTCCGGGAAAGCGGTCAGTAAGGAGTGTAGAGAATCGGACACTTCTGCAAAAAAGGTAAGAAAAAAGTGCACATTGGGTTCCGGATTTTACCAACCTGCTGTTTTTGCAATCGTCTGGCAATCTAGAACAACCGAATTTTCAAAATTTAAGTCAAAAATTTGAAGGTGTTGATTGATTTCATTTTTAAGAACGCATTCATAACCATAAGAGCCTTTTTATAAGTATACACGTTGGTTTTGTCGGTATAGTTTGCTAAGCGTTTGACAGATGTTGTTTATTTGTTTTCATCGTTATAGTTTAGCAGATCCTTTAACTCAGTATGTTTCTTGTATATGCTGCTTGCTAGGTGCCTCTAACGCATTATGCATGTTGTCTTCGTATGGGTTGTTTGATAGACGCCTATGCATCTGTGTCCATGTTGTCTTGTCTGCGTTGTTCGCTAGGACCATGTAACGCAGTATTCATGTTGTTTTTAGGAGCGTTGGTTGCTAGGCGCCTGCGAGTCATTGTTTCCTGTCTGCATTGTTCGATAGATGCTTTTCTATTATCTTGTGTATTATAAAAATGTGTGTATTGTACCTGTATTGTTCTATAGGATATTGTCAGTCATTGGAACTTTGTTTACCGGTATTGTTCTATAGGATATTGTCAGTCATTGGCACCTGTATTGTTCGCTAAGCGCCTGGAATATTGTTTGAATGATGTTGTTGACTGTACTTTCCGCCTTTAAGAAGCACATGTAACTCGCTAGTAATGTTGTTTTTCCTATACTGTTCACTGGGCAGCTGAAACTCAATTCTAATATCGTACTTGCCTGTATTCTTCGCTAGACGCCTGTATTATTGACAAGTGTATTTCTAGTAACTCGCGTTTGCCTGTTTTATTCGCCAAGTGCCTCGAATCAGTATATATGCTGATTTTACCTGTGTTCTGTGGTAGGCGCTTGTCAATCATCATTACTCTAACTCGTGATTGGTGTTACTTTTGTTTGTATTGTTCTGTAGGTACTTATTGTAACTTGATGATTGCACGTATTGTTTGCTAGATGCGTGTCAATGTGTGTTTATTTGTTCTGCTGTATAATTAATGTGTAAACAACACGCTGCTAAAATAGATTCTTCACTGATTCATTATCCAATTATATTATAACATATATGTAACTCGCTGTATTCCCTTCACAAAATGATTGTATGGCACTTTACAATACATATATATAACTATACGTCATCACATGACAATGAAGTATTGTTAAGAATGATTATGGAACAGAATCACTAGATCGGGGTTAGAATGATAATGGCATAGAGCTCCACGTGGTGACCAAGAATCAACTCCTCTTATATCAACAGCATCCTATATTCTTCATCATGTATTCCATCTGCACTCTCAAATAGATTTACTATCTAGTTGAAACTCTAATTCTATGTGAATGATATCGGTCTTAAAGTTAAAATCCTGCTAAGCCTATGGCTGTCTGCCAGAACCACGCCATTTTTTTTTACTGGTCTGTATCATAATCCATCTTTGTGGAGTAGGTGAGAGAAAACTTTCAAATAATTTCACAATTAATATATTATAAAATGCATTATCCATACCATAGGAGAGGGCTTGTATAGACATAACGCCTGTTGCCCAATTCCTTTTGAATTTGTATAAGATGAAGTATTGAATAATAATTTTGTGAAATGAAAAAGTAATGTTACAGACTTCAGATTATATTCTGATGTCAGAATAGTGAGGCCATGATATAAAGCCACGGTAGCAAATATTGAAAACTTCATCAATTTGAATGAAAAATTGGATGGTTTATTTCTAAAACAAAATTGATCATATTATGTTAAAAGAAAATGAACGACGTTTCCATTTTCTATTGGGTTTTTTGAAATTTATCATTTTTTTTCCATAAATGTCATGAAATTGAATTATATATATAGATATACTGTTTATTCTATTTAGGACGTATACATGTACGTTGTGTACATGGAAGCGTGCTATACCCGTATACAGTATTTATTATACTATTTTTGATTTTCCGTCTCCCTATGTCAAAACATTACAAGTAGGCTCTAAACTCTGAGTTATGTGATGAGGTACCTGTTGAACACAGTATTTAGCCGTGATGTTACGTAATTTTCGCCTTCTGACCTGCAACTATATTTGTTAGAGTATTACCAATATGGAACAGATGAGCGCACTTCATAAAGATAATACTCAAAGATTTTCTTAACATGTGAGGTGTTTGATTTAAAGGTTCGTTGATATCTCAACATGTTTCTTCTGTGTAATTATTGCAAGTAATAATAATGCAACGGAAGGTTTACAAAGAACGTGTGCTTCTGTGTGCGATTGCATGTGTATGCAAGTGTTAAATGAAATGATCCTAATTGTGCAACGCTCAATGTTCAATCACATTGAACAAATGACGTCATTTCTAATTGAAAAAGGTTTATATTGAAAGTAGTATGACATTGTTTGTTTCTTTGGTAGTCTCATGATATAGTCATGCAACGCAATACCAAACTTAAGAAAATTATATTTGTATTTACAATATCATATTTGCTATGTTTGGTTCTATGCGAATTTATTCCTGAAAAATGTATGTAAAACAGTTGCATTTGCATGAGTGCAAGATACGATGTTGAATCTGTGATCGTTTCCTTGGTAACATGCATTGCCTTTGAACACACTATTTCGTTCCCCTCTCACCGTTGCTATATACGTACCATACAATTTGCAAAACTAGTAGGTATTAGCTTACATATTATATTCTCACTTTTATTTTATTTAATTTCTAGGTACGTGAACGATATCCTTAATAAGCGGGAACTTATAGGACGAATGCAATCGACGCTCACCGACATTCTCAACGTCATCCATAACGAAAGGTACGTTCATTTAATTTATCAAAATATATATGACACGCTAATGGTTAATATTCATGGTCAATAACCTTAATGACGTCATATTTGATCGTATCAGTTATCAATTAGCACCATGTTTTACCGTCAGTTGTTAAGGATTAACGTTTAAATTATATACGCCAAGCGTAGTAAAAGGAAGTAAGCTACAAGTGTATATCTACCTATTTCATCGGAATCAGTGTCAATTTACCCTAATCATATAAAACATGGGCGAACGTCATCTAGTGTTCCACATGTATCAACCTTTATCATTTATTATTATGGATGTGGTAGTATAAAGGATTAACAATACCAAATTCATTATAATAAATTATAAAGGCTACTTCCTTTTATTACGCTGGGCGTAGATAATTTAAACGTACCCTTAACAACTGACGGTAAAACATGGTGCTAATTGTTAATTGATACGATTAAATATGACGTCATTGTTTATTGACGCTAAGGTTTTTTAACCTTGTGTATATCTTATGTATTGACGCTGTGGTATTTTAACCTTGTGTATATCTTATGTATTGACGCTGTGGTATTTCAAACCTTGTGTTGACGCTGTGGTATTTTAACCTTGTGTATATCTTATGTATTGACGCTGTGGTATTTTAACCTTTTGTATTGACGCTGTGGTATGTTAACCTTTTGCATTGACGCTGTGGTATTATGACCTTGTGCATTGACGCTGTGGTACTTTAACCTTTTGTATTGACGCTGTTGTATTTTAACCTTTTGTATTGACGCTGTGGTATTTTAACATTGTGAAATGACGCTGTGGTATTTTAAACCTTGTGTATTGACGCTGTGGTATTTTAACCTTGTGAAATGAAGCTGTGGTATTTCAAACCTTGTGTATTGACGCTGTGGTATTTTAACCTTGTGAAATGACGCTGTGGTATTATCACCTTGTGCATTGACGCTATGGTACTTTAACCTTTTGTAATGTCGCTGTGGTATTTTAACATTGTGAAATGACGCTGTAGTATTTCAAACCTTGTGTATTGACGCTGTGGTATTTTAACCTTTTGTATTGACGCTGTGGTATTTTAACCTTGTGAAATGGCGCTGTGGTATTTTAACCTTTTGTAATGACGCTATGCTTTTTTAACCTTGTGAAATAAGGCTGAGGTATTTTAACCGTATGTATTGACGCTGTGGTATTCTAACCTTTTGTATTGACGCTGTGATATTTTGACCTTTTGTATTGACGCTGTGGCATTTTAACCTTTTGTATTGACGCTGTGGTATTTTAACCTTTTGTATTGACGCTGTGGTATAATTACCTTGTGTAATGACGCTGTGGTAATTTTACCTTTTGTATTGACGTTGTGGTATTTTAACCTTTTGTATTGACGCTGTGGTATTTTAACCTTGTGAAATGACGCTGTGGTATTTTAACCTTTTGTATTGACGCTATGCTTTTTTAACCTTGTGAAATAAGGCTGAGGTATTTTAACCGTATGTATTGACGCTGTGGTATTCTAACCTTTTGTATTGACGCTGTGGTATTTTGACCTTTTGTATTGACGCTGTGGCATTTTAACCTTTTGTATTGACGCTGTGGTATTTTAACTTTTGTATTGACACTGTGGTATAATTACCTTGTGTAATGACGCTGTGGTAATTTTACCTTTTGTATTGACGTTGTGGTATTTTAACCTTGTGTATGGACGCTGTTGTATTTTAACCTTGCGCTGGCGCTGTGGTATTTTAACCTTGCGCTGGCGCTGCGGTATTTTAACCTTGCGTTGACGCGGTGGTATATTAACCGTATGTATTGACGCTGTTGTTTCTTAACTTTATGTGTTGACGCTGTTGTATTTTAACTTTGTGCTGACGCTGTGGTAATTTAACCTTGCACTGACGCTGTGGTATTTTAACCTGCTGTATTGACGCTGTTGTTTCTAAACCTTGTGTATTGACGATGTGGTATTGTCAACCTTGTGTATTGACGATGTGGTATTTTCAACCTTGTGTATTGACGATGTGGTATTTTCAACCTTTTGTATTGACGCTGTGGTCATTTACCTCTGATACTGATGCTGTGTTATTTCAACACCGTGTTGACACTGTGGTATTTTGTCATTGTGTGAACATTGTGGTCTAGGATTTGTACATTTTACCCTTGTAGATAATGTATTGTTTCAATTCACAGGAAACGAAGCTGCAAGCTGAATTTGGGTTTCCACTGTCAGACAGAAGAGTACTCGGCGATAGCAGACATGTATAACTTTCTGCAGAGTGCCATGAGTCCGGGGAAACGGTGATAGACATATAAACAATTATGCAGCGCAAGTTATTAAAAGAAGGATGACCGAGTGCAGATACGTTGTATATCGTATATTTCCCTCTAACAAAATTCGCTTTCACTTTTCGAACGGAACTTAAACAATACATAAATGGATAATTGAAAGTGAACAATAGTGAAAGCACTCCTTTTTAAAAGTGTTAGTAAAAACTTTATGAAACCAATCCAAAGAGTTATTTACGGTTCGTGCAAAAAATTCATTCAGTTTCAATGAAAACCAAAAGAATCTCTCCGAAAGCGATCTCAACCACAATACGTATAGTTCCTCAGATATTTCTTTGTGATATATTTTGAATTTATTTTAAAATAAAGTTGACTAAGAGTTTAACGTTTTCTTTGTACTTACTGCTATTTTGATATAAGTGGATACCAGTATGCTACTATTGTGTTTTAACATGTCGTTGGAACGGTACAAATGAACAGCTTCCTGACGGATGGGAGTACCAAAGCGGCCATCCTCGACATCCAGGGGTTTCGCTCAATTTCGCTCTCTGCACCCCTGGAATAACTCATAGCAAATGTGAAGGCTCAGTGAGCGCCACCTTATTGATGAGACAAGAATACTTATTCGATCATTTGCTATACATCAAAAGAATCTAGCGGTCAAAAAACGTTGACAGGCTTTGAAGTCGGGCGTCTCTCCTTTATAATCTTCAGAGGATAGATATCAGCCTAATGATTGGTCAGTTTTTTTACCTGAGACCAATCAAACAGCTATCTTCATGCCTTCAATTTTGCTTTAAAAAATAATCCAGGGGTGAGCGCAACCCCTGGATATCGAGGATGCAAAGCGGCAAGTGTTCAGAGAGAACATTGATTTCATAACATCAAAAGAATTACTTGATATACAAAAAAGGAAATAAATGCAGATGTAAAATGCGTATTATGATCTTTAGTTAACGTCGCGATAACTGTATAAATCATAAAAACAAAACAGTATTATATGTTTGAATTCTTTCTTTGTAAATATATTTCTTTCAAAATCGGTACTTTCCAGACTTAATACAGTGTCATGAACTTCAGTCACACACTTCATAAATTGAAGACCACGTTGCTTTTATTTTTGGCGCTAAATATAACAAATTTCCAATAAATTATTCCGAAAGGGCTCAACATATTTAACCTCCTGTTCCTAAAGCATAGTTACCATAGTATCCAGGGTTTCCTTTCGAAAATACTTCAACATACACAACTTTGGTAATGAAGTCCTACGGAATTGGTGATTTTCTGTTGTGTACTCCAATAGGGAAAACGAAACCGTCCAACATAAATATGCAGCATTCATTGCAACATTATGAGTTTTTCTCTCTCTATTCCTAGTTTCGTTCCCTGGTGACTTTTTTGCAACACCTCTTATTTGGTCCTTGTATTGAGGGTTCAATAAGGCTATTTATGTTTTTCCCTGACGGAGAAAAAAACGAACTAACTGCCCTTCAGCTAGAATTTGTGGCGGTAAAGAATAGGCAGTCCGTTGACATTATAGCGTGACCGGGTGGACTGGTAAGCTTCCGTGTCTCCAGGTTACTAGATTTCTGGTTGTTTTATGGCACTTGAAAAGGCACTTTATACATGGACACTGTCTTCATAGGCCCCTATATGATGCGAACGCGCAACCCCCGCCCCAAAACAAAAAACAAAAACCAAAAAAAAAAGACAAAACAAAGAGACCAAAAAAAANAAAAAAAAAAAAAAAAAAAAAAAAAAAAAAAAAAAAAAAAATCAACACAATATCCTTATTTCAATAGTCACTATGACCTTAAAATGAATAAACAATAAACTAATATATGAGACTCTGACATCTTTGTGTCTGGCAGGATTGAATTAATGATCTCCACATCTTTGAACTTCGGTGATAGACTTTCTTGGATTTGACAATAGATCCCTTGTATGTACACCACGTGGTACGATACCCGCACTACATAAATAACCCGGTTTTACTATCTTATGCGGGCAATGATTTGGTTTTCCATTTACTGTCTTTTCGTTTCTTGTTTATTTCGAGTTCCGATTTTAACGCTGTGCCATATTATTGATTTTCTTTATTCATTCATTTCGGCCTGTATTCAAAAATAATAGGGCCACTAGTTTTAAACATTTCAATGAGAGAAGTACAATATTAAGATTTGTGAAAATCAATCTTTGTGATACATTAAAGGCGTAACGATTATTATTTTTTTTTTTTAATTTTTGTAGTTTTCATGAACTGACACCTAACCGAATAATCTTGTGTCGGATCAAATAAAATGTTCAATAACCGCATTAAAAAATACTTCCAAACATTCCTGGGAATTCTGTATTAAAAACGATACAGTATACCTTACATGGACTAGTATGTATAAGAGTGTGCTTAACGATGGTTGGTCTTGTTATGGTTTATGTCAAGAAAAAAAATAACAATAGTAAACAAATGCCTTGCACAGAATAAGAAAAAAATATAAAGCTTTATAACATACATATTCTACATTAAAAATATTCAAGCACAGAAGCTGCCGCATGGTTTGATTAACATACAAATATCAAACACATTTGATTCCAAAGTGAAGTTAAGGTGCATAAATACTTTAGTTCGTTGGACAAATTTCATAATTCAACATGTCTAAACTCATCAAAGACACCTATGAAGTCAATACGGAAACTTTCCTTTGGAAGGAACAGTGTTCCGACCTCTGGATTTAGTACTACTTCTATTCTTCTGGACAACATCAGGAAAAATGATAATGCCTGCATGGAAGTAACCCATTACCTATTTCGACCATTTATGATTGATCCCGATCATGAGTGGTCTCTAGCTGGTGTCCAAAATTATAGAATTTAAGCAAACGAATGAACAATGTACAGTTCTATGATATATGAACCACTTATGCTGTGAATTATAGTATTATTTACATTATAGGCTCCAAATCGAATACTTTACGACTAAAAAGGTCACTATATTGTTAACCTTTATCTACCTCCTTATGGAATATTAGCATAATATGGAACATTACATCTCATCAATCTGCGACTCTGAATAAGATTCTAAGATCATAACCCTTTTATATTTCACCAACCTTTGTTTCGACATATGCAATCTCTCCAGTAATAAGAAGTAAACAATTTTCAATTTCCGCAATCTAAAACTTAATATTGACTACAGTAAAAGCGGAAATTCCGGCGTTGTGACCCTTAAAACTGATAGTGATGCAATAATTCACGTTGGCAAAAGCTTAGAAATCTATAATAAAAAACGAAAGACAAGTTTCTTCGACCTCCCAAGCAGTTTCTTCTTTTTATACTTTCGCGTGTGGATATTTCAAGCCAGTTTGTTTACTCAACGCGAATAACACCGCAAATACTTTTACACCGCGAAAAATCCAACTTTAACAGTATCTTACGTATACCACATCAGTAATCTTTAAGCGATCTTTGTATATATATATACAGTCGAACCTCGTTATCTCGAAGTCGACGGGATAGTTGGGAAACTTCGAGTTATCAGAGTATTCGAGTTAAGCGAGTTCCTATGGTTGGCATAAAGCTTGGTAACGTGTTTGGTCCAATATGAGGCTATAGATGTCATTGATTTCTCTGACAATCAACGTATTTAAACAGTCGATAGATGACAAAAAGATAACTATTTTAAATAAAAAAAAATAACTTATTCATAATCATATTAATTAATTAAGTAATGTTACAATAAACACACATTCTGTCTCGGAAATGAAAGTGCGCAAGTCTTTATACAAATCACTGTAGTGTGTCGGCAGTAAGTACTAACTGTTGTTAATCAACATTGATGAAGTTTGTTTCTTTATTTGTACAAAGTATTTTTACAGTCAAACACATTTTAATGCCATAAGTTTAATCGAAGTAATTATGACCGAGCGTAAGCTGCTCATTTAGAACGATGTTTACCGTAGCACTGCGTCAAATAATTAAAGAATATATGATAGACTTGTGAATCTTAAGAAACTTCGAGGTAGGAGATATTTTTATGTAGGATTTACGTTGTTGGGACCGATGTTTCACTTCGGGATATCGGAGTTTTTCGAGTTTTCAGAGTTCGATTTATCAGAGTTTTTATTACTAAGATTAAGAAGAGTTTTGGCCGGGACCGATGAAATACTTCGAGTTAAACGGGGTCTTCGAGTTATACGAGTTCGAGATAACGAGGTTCGACTGTATATATATATATATATCAGCAGCAAGTGTAAACAATATCACAAACAAGATTCAAATATTGTATGGAAAATGCTATTTATTGGACAACTTAAACTAAATCACAATCATACGAAGAGCAATTAATGCCGAACGGATGTGCTAAAACTTATTTTTTGGAGAAAATTGGAAACAACAATTAATATATCAACAACAATCTCCTTTCCCTTGTTTTATCGATTTTAAATTACGGTTTTGTTGGCACTTCGGTATTATTTTGTTGTTGTTGTTGTTTTGCATGAAATTGCATCTACAATGATAAGAAGTAAAACCGCAATACATTTTCCTGTTTTGATTAAGATACTAGTTTACAAAGAACGCATTGCGAATTGTGGACGGGGTTCACAGTCCACATTGTGTGTAAAAAAGACACTTTGACTTACCAGTGATATCTACCACGAATTATACGACACAAATCGTTATATATATATATCCCAAGCATTGTGATGAGCTATTTATAATAATAAACATTTCACAAAACATGAACATATTGCAGTAGGTTTATTGATATTTGTATCAAAGACTTGGATAATGTTACTCATATGACATATATCTCTCTGTCCTTCCACTAAACAATAATCGTTCTCTGGAAAAACTGAGAAACAATTGTATACCTTTAGTACACAATTACCACAGCTATACTTATATTCTAAGAGGCCATAAGTCATTTCTTAAATAGTTGTAGTGCGAAAAATATTTGATTACATTTGATACAGCGTTTATTATTTCACATACAGTACACTTATATTGTTCCCAAGTTGAGCATGCGTACCATGATAGCAAGAAGCTTGAAGCATTTCCACAAAACATATCCTTCTTTCATTCTTTCCGGCATATTGTTTTTTTTGCTAGGAAGGCCCTGTGTGCATAATTTTTCTATGACTGTTAAAAAAGATGTATTTGGAAGGACAATGATGGTCATGTGACAATAGATGTCACAGACAATAGTAGGACGGCATCAAGAAGTTCAAAGGCAAAAACGTAAGGATCTCTGCCCCACTACAGGCGTAACATAACATTGAATAATTCCACACCTTTTAAAGTGAAAATTAAATTAGTTTTTTGGTATTTTGTGTGTGTGTGCAATAATTCAAACAAAACATTGTCGATGAAAAGAATTTAGGAAAATTCCGTAATGCATGGGGTCCTTTTAAGAAATAATTTACTAAAGCTGCAGTAAATGAAGCTGTGAACGCTATCTATTTATTTAATGCATATCTAGTTCAGAATGATATTCAGAAATATATACATCTACATATCAATATGGTTTAAGGGTCCCTGTACCACTGCCATAACATGTAATTAAGTATTGGAAACTGTTTTTTCTGGCATGCTTATAGCTTTGATAAATCATTTCTGAAAAGAAAACCACAGCAGGTGGGTCGTTTATGAGAAATGATAAAACTGAAGCAACTAAAATATATTCAACATCAGTGTTCTCAGTGTAAAAAAAACAATCTTCGAGTTAGACTCGGATTCAAACCCTGAACTTTAGACTATCGCTGATTTATCGAAAGTATCCTAGCCCAATTATTCTACAGTTATACCAAGTTAAGGAGAGGTTATCGCATATGAGAAAAAAAAACAGTGCAGTGGGAAAAGATCGTTAAAACGAGGTATTTTGGGTTTCTCAATAATTTGCTTCATAAACACATACAATACGAAACATTTCTCTATTTTATAATCTTTGGGTCTACGAATTATTTCTCCGTGGTATAATTAAGCAGTTTAAAAATAAATTTGTGTAAATTAGGCACATAATATTATGGCTTTTCAAAAGGTAATACATTTTATTCCCCAATTTAGTTTTAATTCGCGTCATAACAGGCGCTAAATTAACCTTTTTCGTCAACGAAAGCAAAACAAGAGAATTATCATCTCCGACGGAATCCGAAAAGTACACAACAGGGTTTAGCTTCATTGAAATGGCCACAAGATAAGCACATCTTAGTCAGGTTCCTACTTTTATAATTAAAATAGTTTAACACATTTCTTGTGGACTGACTATGAATTACTAATGATTTCTGAAAATTTACCGAAAGAATGTGTTGAAACAATGTACATGTGGCCATCCTTATATCACGACCCATAACGGTCAATACTGACCCCTTTAATTTTGTCCATTTTATTATCACAACAAGTTCACTTGAACGTGAACACCACCTGCCTATTAAGACCCTTTTCATTGTCCACAAGTGTTCTTTATACACATGTATCACTGTCTATAGAATATACAACATTATAAGTTACAGGTATGCGTACTGTATATACCAGATATCAGGACTAAATACTATATAGACGGTTGGGTTACATGTAGGTTATACAGCAGTATATATGATATGGTAAATCGGACTACTTCAACTGTTGAAGGCGTTGATGACATACAAGCTATTGTGATTTCATTTACATATAAGGCGATATTTATTTATACAATATTACTATAAAACACTTGTATATAAAGGTAACATGAGCTGGCAAAGGCAACGGGGCCTGGACGGCATTATCAATATTTGTGACACAAATTGCAATTCGGTGTAGTGATATGTTTTGATTCGGCTAAAATACATTGCAAGAAATACAACTATTAGGCCAGATGTAAGTACTTATACATCGGTGTATCAATAAGTACTTGATAAATGAGATTCCACTTATATTATACTAAAACTTTAACTAAATGTAAAACATGAGTTAAGTGACGAAGGATGATATATTCTTGTATACATGTTCTATATATGATAGGAAAGAGTTCGAAACATTAAAGTCAATGTACCTAAAATGTATAATACGCTATACCAATAAAGAACCACATGGCTATACTCACAAATCTAAATAGTTTTCTATACTGTAAATGTGGAAATTTTCGGAGTAGCAATGTTTCTGAGATATTATTTTCTTAAATATATTAAATCTATAAATACATGTTCGCGTGTGGATATTTTCAAGCTAATTAACTCAAAAACGCGAAAAAAACGAGAATTTTAACACCTCAAAATTATTTACATTAAATGAATTCAACACGGGTGAATTTGTTGTACCATGTTCTGGACCCGTATTCATAAAACCGTTCTCATGCTCAAACAACCTATGATCTGTGCTAAAGCTCAATTTATTGTTCCGGTGATAAATGAATGAAAAGTCACATTTTAACAACGATATGGAAGCATTTTATACAGACTTACAACCGAATAACGTCTTCGCTGTTAACACTTGACATTTTAATCGTGTCACCTGATTAAAGTGGGTTTCAGAAATTTATTTGAACACAAAATACATTCTTGAGCATGAGAACAGTTTCATGAATACGGCTCAAGGTCTCCTCGAAGGGGGCTTATATTGGAGAAAAGGAAGTAACAAAGGGTACCACAATTCAAAATCACTGCAGGGGAAATCTGGACCTTCAATGTAATTTACAAGGCCATGTCGTCGTATTACATACAGATCTGTGACAGGCTGTTGTCCTTCATAAAGAAAGAAATATATGAAATATTATGAAAATATGAGCTACTCATATTTGAATGTTTTTCATATTTGAATTATTGTGCTAAATTATGATAACGATAATTGCGGTTTTATATATAGTTCTTATTGCATATTTTGGGAGTGCAGACATTTTTTGTTCGCCTTTCTTTCAAAATTTGATAACGCACTCAAGTTTGTGTGCACCAAAAATGCTTTTGTCTAGAGTATTATAGTCCCAAAAGAATGTTACCATGGTAAAATCCGAGTTGTGACATATTCAAAAGCATTTATCACAGACAGATCTCATAATATCTCGTGCTACCATTTGGTTTACAATCTGGTTTTTATTCAATTAAAACTTTTTTTAAATTATAAATATATTTATAACTTTTAAAAATTAAATGAGTATAAAAAAGTTTGTTTGATCATATGTAACATGAAAAAATATAAGTACATGTATATCACATTGATTCACCGTATTGCCGTTCGGAAAATAAAAAAATAAATACGATAACATTTCAATATGTTGCTTATATTGCTTACCTTAAAATAACATGAAAATCTCAATATTATGCATCACCTTTCATTTTCGATCTTGGTTACCGCCAAAACATTAAAATGTTCTTTTTTCTTTATTCTTAACAATTCATTTGAAGTCTTCCTCGATAAATATCGCCAAATTCCTTTAAAATGCCAATATTTCACTCAACTACTGGCAATATATCGAGGTTTTACTGTATATGCAAACCTTGTTTAGCCATACATGTTTAATAAAACAAAGAGAAAAAAATACGTGCACCTGTATTGCATAGTATGAAATATATATCAACAAGCAAATACTAATAATTACACAATGACGTGTCATAAAGTTTTCATGTCATCTTATTTTGCAATCAAGTTCTATGTTATTTTTTTTTAATTCTTGCCTTGATTTTTAATCAATTGTGATGAAACTCAATACACATCTAGAAAATTATCCACCACTTCTGTTGTTTATATTTACATAGCTTTTCAGTCGTGTGGAAATTGTTCATGAAAATGGTAAGAAAAAAAATAAGGAAACTTATGGAAAAAAGATGAATTAACATAACATTTCCCTGGGATAACATATGTATCGTGAATGACTTATGACACGTCACTCTATAATGATAAGTGTATGGAAGATGTGTTTCAAGTCTAAACATATATATATATAGATATGTGTATATCACGTGGTACATAATATGTTATATGATACAAAATTTGATTCTCGCCAGTGAAGTAGAAGAACCTTACTATATGACAACCAATATGTTCTTACCCAGCCTGTCATCCTTCTTCTATGGAAGTTAGCTAGGACTTGTCTCACAAAGAATTAAGTAAGGTCAGAACAGTTTGGCAGATACCAATGACTAATGAATGTACATAGTACATAGTTACAAATTGTGATTAAAATAATGGGGTACTCTAAACATATTTAACTCATTAATCCCTGACGACACGTTTGAACTCTTTCAATTCAAAGGTTGGAATAGTTCGTTATGAAATTTAAGGGGTGATTAATTATATAAGTTAATGGATAAAATGAGCACAACCTGAAATGTTTTCTTGCTAAACTTGGGTTAGGTCTGTGATCCTCTCCTCGGAGCGATTTGTTTTCCAGTGAATCTCTACACAGCGTATTGAGCGACACAGCATCGCCAGTTGTATAAATACTTTTCTCAGAATCTCACTGATTGGACTGAACATGTGTCGCAAAGTCATGAAGCAGTTCCACATAAACACTCCAAATGGATGCACAAAGCCGTTAAAAGCTAATGAAAATACAGGTTTGGCTATGTAGTCACCCATAGTACCGAATACCCCTACAATCAGTGGTTGTATGATATACTTTATGATATACTTCATAAGTTCAACAATCAACAAAATAACAACACTTGTTATGATACGCAGTAATCCGAAAAACTCTTGATAGATTCGTTGTAAAACAATTTCAGCTCTGAAAGAAAAAAAGAGAAACTATCATTAGATTAAGCATCAAATAAGTAATGATGGACAATCGGTTAAAAATAATAATCGATCATCGGTTTGTAATAGGGAGTAGTAAACCGTTCGATGATCGAATGCATAAGCGACCGGTAATTGTATGGGACTGAGTACCCTAATGAAGTGGTAACAGCTATAACATCAATAGGCAGAGTTGTTCACTAAACATAAGGTTTCGTTCTTTTATAATGAATGGATATAAAGCAACTTTCATGCATTTTTATCAATCATATAGTATATAATTTTAATGTAAATGGTAAAATATATGACTTTCAAAACATACTTTACACGGAACACATTTCAACACTTCGGTTTCAGTGATGAACTGATTATATGAATTATGGAATTTGTAATCAATAATCGGAATCGGAATCGGAAAGGGTAAACCGATCGATTTTCGATTATAACCTATCATCAGCCCATCACAACAAATAAGTAACGAGATTTTATTCTGTTCTCAAATTCAATTTGGCTCCGATAGATTTATTCTAAAATATAAAGATAATATGCATTGTGAACAGTAAAATTTAATAATAGTTAACATCTTGATAATATAATCCAAAATACTGCTCAGTGATTACCATTTTATATAAATTAAAAAATCTTAATGTGTTAGGTATTGTCCAAAACATAAAAATTTAAAGTAGTAACTGCATACATTTTTGAAACAATATAACAATGATATATTTTTTATATCGTAAGCTTCTTTTGTGTTTTTTTGTTAATTTTCAGACAGAAATTTAAATTCCTTATATATGTAAAAATAACGTTATACATGTTAAAAGGTATTATCTTTCATTGATAGTGCATCAAAGATAATAATCTCATCAGTATATCAGGTGAGTTTTTTTTACCTGTAAATAAAAAATTAAAGAAATTGATGTGCTAAAATTCAGGATGATCACGCAAAAATCTTGTTAAAATCAAAATACGACATTGAAAAACGTTTTAATTTGGGAAATAAAAATGTAAACAAAGAATAATTGGTGCTTTTTTCCCTTTCTGTCCCGTGATCGTCAAATTCAAAACAAGTTCAAAAGGTCTAACAATTGTTATATACATATATGTCATAGTTGTATACGATTATAAATCACTCATCATTTTCAGGCTTTTGTTGGATTCATTTAAATCCATTTAACTATCCAGGTCATACGTATACGGATTGCTGTATTTCATGTTCCATTTTTGAGAAGTTTTCTACTGTTGTAGAACAGACAGTGTGTAGGCGCTTGATTAGTGCACTTAACCTGGACATTTTTTTGTTTGGCAACTAAAAAAATCCAGAAATTGTTTACTAGCATTAAATGAATTTGAGGATTTACGTGATGAGATAAATAGAATCTTTCACCCCCTTGAGAGTGAGATAGGAGAATCTCAACCCGAGGGGGAGGATTCTTAAGTTGCCAAACACGAGGCTGTGTAATGATAACGTTACATGCTAAATTCAGGGTTGACATGACGTTGATGGATTGTTGACGTGACGTCATGCCATTGTTATGAATAGGGGAATCCCCCCGTCTCAACCGTAGCGTGAGACAAGGAAATCTCACACCGGTAAAAGTGCGGATACACCTGTCCAGGGTAAGAGATTGGTATACCCATCGCATCCGAAAAAAACAGAGGGGCCATGTACAGTTTTATGATTATGCAAAGTTAGCCTTTGTATTCTTGATAAATTTATGTTTTGTTTTTTTTTTGCTTCATTATTGAATAAATTAAGGGTTACATTAAATAATTGGGAAAGACTCAAAATGTGCCAAATTTATTTAACTTCGCTTGATTTGATCTACTGAAAACAGAGGCAAGTACTAACTTAGGCAGTTATTGCAATGTCACCAAATTGAGGTGTTCATTCAGACATCACACATCTCTGTCTCTCCCAAGCAGTTCATTTGAATCCCACACATTTTTTTCAGAACTGTATGTTGAAATGTATTGATGGAAAATGGAAGCTTTATACCGACTCGGCTAGGGTGTATTTCTGTTCAGCTCATGTGGTAGAGCATATATATAAGACTATAGTAAACCAGAGGTCCAGCGTTCGACTCCTAGCATAAGCATTGAAAAATGAAGATTTCTGTTTCATTGGTGCCCTTGTAGGGACCTGGGGAGTACTGACAAATACACTCAGTTATGGTATCACCCGAATCACATTAACCCTTGGAAGACTTGGGAAAAGTTGTTTTCTGCAAAGGGAGTATGTCACCCTGGTAAAACCTATAATTAGGGTGGCCGTTTTAGGAAAAAATACCAAAACTAATTTAGTGAAAAGGTTTTTACACGAAAGTGTATACAATTTATACTGAAGTGAAAAAAAACAGGACATAATGGCAAAAAATCACATAACGACATTTTTTTTCTTCATTTAATTATTTTTCACTTGCCATCATGTCAAGATTTTTGTTCGTTCACTTCTTACATGTAGTGTAGAAAACGTTTTTTTGTACTTAAGTGTGAAAAAAACCTTCGTTTTTCCTTAAGTGTAAAAAAACTTTTTTTTGTATGTAAGTGCAATAGAATTAAAAGTGGGTTTTTTCACTTCGGTGCAAAAACGACTTTTTTCAACTAAGTACATACATTTGTATAACGTTTTTTACATGTAAGTGGGGAAAAAAACCTTTTTGTAAAAACAAGCCAAAAAATGAAAAACAACACTACATTCTTGTACAAAGAACCAGCTGATACCATGTTCAACCTTCCACATTTATTCTGTTAAACACACTTACTTTTCTGCAATTCTTGGCATGAATGCTGCACTTGCGTCATCCTCCACTTCGTAATACTGCAGACTGCCATGGCCAAAGTAATACACACTCCTGGGCAATATACAAGATAATGATTAATGTGTAATTTAGTAATAACATATACATTTGTATGTGTATAAAACATTATATATGTACATTCCTTTAACTCATTTACCCCTTAAGACACATTTAGACTCTCCCAATCAAAGGTTGGAATAGTTCATTATGAAATTTCAGGGGTAAATGAGTTAATTTTCTCAAATGTGAATTCCGTTGGCCCATTCCTGTCTAAACCAAAGTACCATAGTTTCCATTGATGTAATTCCCTTTGTCAAGCTATGTCTCATGCCATGGAAATTAAGTAGAAATTCCTTCACTGATTAACCACTATTTTTGGCCCCAATTCTTTCCCAAAGGGACCTACCCTTTTATTTATAAAAGATTGAACTTCCTTCCCTCATGGTTTCCTTCATGGCCAATAAGGTCGAAATTCCTACACCAGATGATGTTGGATTAGTAATTTTTTAAAAGATTAACTCCATACATGTATCTTCCATTTTGGCCACCAAATCGCTAACTGCACTGAGGAGCACACCCTTCATTTATGTACTATTCAATTCTCTTTGCCAAGGACTTTCCATAAGATCAAAAAGAGGTCAAAATCTATCTACTCCTATTTTAGGAATACAATGTTGTCTTAGAAAGATTAACTAATTCACCCCTGAAGACACACTTGGACTCCTCCATTTTAAAGGTTGGAATAGTTTATTATAAAATTAATTTCAGGGGTGAATGAGTTAACAACTGTTTCTCCCTTTTGGTGCTTCCTCTTTGGGGGCACACCCTATAACTATACAATATTGAATTCCATTTTTCAAGGTGTGCTCATTAGGTCAGGTGAGCTAAAATGTACACTAGTGCTATTATATGAACCCCCAGGGTCATTCCACTTCATGTTGTAGATCGTCTTACCTTCCGTCCTCATCTTTCACAATGAAAGGAGGATCAATGTAGGCTGGAGATTCCATGGCGATGTCTTTAGCAGGAGATACTGCCTCAATTCTAGATTCGGGCTGAGTCTCTGCTTTTATGAACTTTGGCTCTATTACTTGACCTTGACCTACAGCCAATGCTACCTCCCGATTTGTTCGAGGTGTTTCAGCTTTAAGTGCAATTCTGTGTTCCCTCGTCACAGCTGCAGCTGACTCCTGATCAAGGACAAATAATTTGTCATAGAATGTGTTAATCAACAAAAAAACTTAAGTGTGAAATGTAGGTCAAATTCAGCATCCGTAAAATGCAATCAGTAGAGCGACCCAAGATGCATGAATCATGAGAGCATCGAAGGGGTAGCAGTTGTAGTAAAGTATTCATGGATGAGACCAATTCTTCTTAACCTGTATTATATACATATGACCAATATTTCTTAACCAAGTCACTGAAGCAGGAAATGCAGGTCAAATTCAGCATCAGCAACATGCAATCAGTCGAGCCACCCCAGATGCATAAACCATGAAAATATCGAAGGTGTATAGCAGTTGTAGACTAAGGTATTCATAGATGAGATCAATTCTTCTTAACTGGATGGACGGATGCACACAAGGACAGATCCCATTTCTATATCTCCCGCCAACTTCATTGAGTGGGGGATAATTACCCCTTTTCGTACCCATATCTACAATAGGAGTAATTTCAATCTTTACTGCTGCCTATTACGTATGGCAAATTTGGTACACCAGGTTTTACCCTCTGGTTATCGAAGTACCCATGCTGAGAAAGTTCAGATTTAAAATAATCCAGCCAAGCACATATTAGCTTATTAGACATACCGACTTCATGGCTTTATTTCGACTGGATGCTGGGTTCTTTTTCTTGCCACGCCCACCACTAGCCCAGCTTTTCCATGTAGCTTCTGACCTGTTGGTCATCTGTCCTTCGTCTAGTTTCTCTGTGTCAACAAAATAATATTGTCATCAATACCTAATCAGTCTTAGAATAATTTTAAAAAAAATGTTGTGGCTGTAGATCTTAATTCTGTTGTTTATTGCAATTTGATTGATCCAATACATAAAAACTGTTTATAATTTAACCTTTGAAGTTGTTAGTCATGGGGTCTGCCTGTTAACAATTGAAGTACAACCAGCATCTATAAAGGCGAGAAAAAAAATCAGTATTCTGCCTGTTTATATATATATAGACCTACCTAATTCAGCTTCTCGCTGCAATTTGAGCTTCAGATCCTCTGCCTGCTGTTCTTTCTGTTTTTCCTGCCGAAAATTCTCTCTAAGTTCTCTCAAAGTCCTCTCATCTTGGTCGGAGTCATCCCATGATCCCATGCCTGTGTCATATTACATGCAGTGATCAATCTACAATTAGTTTATGTATTGGGTTTTCCCCCTGTTTGGTTAAAAGAAACGGGTCCTACCATGTTAAATTTCAGTATTTTCAGGAATTTTATGGTTCAAATCAAAATTCTATGGATACAGAACCCAGGTGATTTATCACTGTATTATATCAATTTTACGAGTGTTTTTATGACAAAACTCTTTTGTCACCATAATCTCATCTGAATTCTTCTCAAAATATGTTCACACATGCTTCACACTTGATATTCTGCTATACTCATAAATACTAATAATAATTATTATTCCAGATTCTTATATACCGCTTTATGACAATCTAGTACGTAGGTCATCTCAAAGCAGTTCACAAAATGTTATCAGTGTTTATAGGGCCTTCCCTTTGCAACCAGCCAATATCTTTCTCAACTCACGGGGGAGCATACAGCCGGAGCTGCCATTTCGTAAAGTATCTTGCTCAAAGATACAACACAGTGCCGTGCCGTGACTCAAACCTGCAACCCTTTGGTCGTGAGCCCAGTGTCCTACCACTAGACTACTGTGCCTCCTCATGTTAAATATATAGTATTCAATCCTCTATATATACAAGAGAACATATTGCTGATGTGACTTCAATGTACTTACTATTGATGCTATCCGATGGTTTTTCCAATGCACGTTTACCAGCAGGGCTTGGAGCAGGATGGGGGCTTGGCGCTCTTTCAAAAGCAACAGTATCATATAAACCCTCCTTTTGGTCTCTCCCAGGTGGTTGCGCAGTGCGCTGTTTGTCCGGGGTAATTGCTCCTGTGCAAGAGAAAATAATCAACATCAACTTTAAGTGCCATCAAAACTAAGGTTTTATCATACTAGCGGGTAGACTGTGGTGCAGTGGATAGCGCGCTTGCCTTTCACCAAGGCAGCCCAGATTAGATTCCCCGATCAGACGTAAAAAGCTTGGGGTCACCTGCCCGATCACGTTGGTTTTATCCAGGTACTCCGGTTTCCTCCCACATTAAGACCAATGCGCGCTAACATCTGGGCCAGTAAGAGTGATTAATATAAGTTGAAATAACTTGTTTAAATTTTTATCATACTTGCTGACTCTCCCAATTTGGGAGGGAGACTCTCAATTTTGGAATGGAGCATGTTCAACAAGTGAATTTGTTAAGTTATTCCAATTTTCGAAGAACTGATGATATCATCTGAAAGAACAGCTCTGCAGGTGTCATTTAAAAGTGTTATTTTCCTGTTTATGCTTTTAATTCTGAGCACATGTAATCTTCCCAATGGAGATTTTAAAAAGTTGACAAGTATGCTTCTTATTCACTCAAAAAGCGACTATCAACCTCAGTTTTTTAATAATCACTTATTAACTTCAAATATCAAGTTCAGCTGATTATTCTTTTGTAATGTTTATTCCTATGAAAGAATATGATAAATGCTTATATCAATTCCAGTGAGAGACAACAGTGAGTTATCTCCCTTGCAGATGGCGCTGCAACCAAGTTGGTCTTACAAACTTCATGCTAACTTCAGAATTGCAAGTATCAAATAAAACACATTCTATAAATATCTGAAGCACCTAAAATTTATGAATGTTTTCCTAAATGCATAATGATTTTAATGAAAAGAGATTTCAAATGAAAAGTGTCATTGTTTCATTTTTGATTTCTTTTGTAACAGAAAAGAGAATAGTGTGCTTCCACCGAGGATCGAACCCATGATCTCCAGGTTCCTAGTCGGATGCTCTTCCACTGAGCTAAAGGGAAATTCCCTCTAGCTTGAAGCTAGAAGGCGACCTTAATCCTATGTACAATTGAACCCTGCCACACTACTCCCCCCTTTTTAAATGTGTTCGCCCTCGAACACCACAACCCAGGTTCTAACTCCCTGTCACCACAGGGAGGGCCATGAACACCATTTGTAACAGGAAAGAGAATAGTGTGCTTCCACCAGGGATCAAACCCTCGATATCCAGGTTCCTAGTCGGACGCTCTACCACTGAGCTAAAGGGAAATTCCCTCTAGCTCGAAGCTAGAAGGCGACCTTAATCCTATGTACAATTGAACCCTGCCACACTACTCCCCCCTTTTTAAATGTGTTCGCCCTCGAACACCACAACCCAGGTTCTAACTCCCTGTCACCACAGGGAGGGCCATGAACACCATTTGTAACAGGAAAGAGAATAGTGTGCTTCCACCAGGGATCAAACCCTCGATATCCAGGTTCCTAGTCGGACGCTCTACCACTGAGCTAAAGGGAAATTCCCTCTAGCTCGAAGCTAGAAGGCGACCTTAATCCTATGTACAATTGAACCCTGTCACACTTTTAACAGTTTTTAAACATGAAGTGCAAATGATTTTACAATTAATCAGTTGAACAAGTTCCAGTTTTTAACAGTAAATAATTACAATACTGTTTCCGCTTGTTCTGCTGATGAATATTTTGGAAATATCTTTGTGTGCCTGTTGCTTCCAGCATGCAGTGCCAATGTCAGCATTAGATATATAGGACCAAGTTGGTAGCAACGCCATCTAGTGACTTATAATTAGCAAGGGCGTTAACTCATGTTCACTAATGTCTCTCATTCAATTAATATGAAAACAAATGACAGCTTACCATTTAGAGCTCCCCTGAAGTTATAAGGAGGGGGGTCTCCATCCCTTTCTCCAAGAGCAGCCCTGGAGCTCCGAGGAGTTCCCTGATTTGACCTGTTACTATAAGAAAGAAGAAAGGGTCATAACAATATTAATAAATACAGAAAAACCAGATGTATAATCAGATTAAAATTCACGTGTTTGGACAAGACGTAACTGTATCATGAATATAACCATCATTCTACTGGGTCTCTAAAGAAAATATTCTAATATATTAACTCATCCACCCCTTCATGTTTAAACTAGACTTGCCCAGTTTTTGATTTGGTAAGGTTCAAATGTGACTTTAGGGGTGAATGGGTTAAAGCCACTCTAGTCTCTGTGGTGAGTATAACATTTTAATAGATAGATCAATATTTGAGGGAAATGTTTTAACAGAATTTCGTAATAAAAACCTAAACAAAAAAAAACATAGAGCCATTATGTACTCTGACCTGTTAAATATGCTGATTTTAATACATTTGACCTCTGTGACCTAGCTTATAACTGCAGGTCAAGGTTATTCATTTGATCAATTATAGTTTGATAGCCCTCAATCATCCAAGCGATGCAAGACGAAAGGCAAATATCATTTTTGACTCTAAGTCTTAAATGAACCATATCTTACAAACCGATGAATATGGGTCAAGATGGTTTATGTAAACAAACTTATAAGCTTTTCACGTGGGTAGGTATGGTATATGGAAAATACTATGTCTACAGGACTTGCAGCTCTTGAGAAGTAACATTATTTTTCAACACTTTAACTTAAATGGATCAAAGTCATTCCTTCGATCAAACTTCAGATGGCCATTTTAACTCTGACAGCTAAATGCCAAAAAATATTATCCATGGCTTTACTTTTTTTACGGGAAGTCATTCAGAGAAAAAGTTGATAAAGGTGGCCTTCTAATTTGATGTCCAAGTAGGAAGGTGACACAGAAAAAATATTCAATCATAAAATTATGTTTTTCTTCGTATTAATGAAAGAAACATCAGTAATCTAATTGTTGATATATGCATAATAAAAATAGAAATTCTTTGATCTTTAGATAGTAATTTTGATTCAATGCAACGAAAGGCAAACATCATATAAAGATAAGTGACATTAACACAGAATAGCATTACAGGGGAAAGAGAAATGCAACGGCCAGATCGGGGTTCGAACCCGGGACCCTCTGAACTCTTAGACGGACTCTCTACCAATTGAGCAACCTGGTTGCTGACGCTCAACCCAGTCCAGTTTCGCTACACTCAAAGATAAAATACTTGTAGTTGGGAACAAATCTAAGTTTTAAGAAGAAATGATATTAAGTAAAACATGACATTAAATAGTGTTATAACAAGTGAAATGTACAATACCCATTTTTTCCCTTTTGAACAGTGGCGTACAGGTTACTATTTACAGATGCGTCCTCGTCATCTTTCACAGGAGGCACTGGCTGGTCTAAAATTTAACGCAAAGACTTTGTGTGATTTTTAACAACAACTACATTTTATACTCCTTTATATTATTGTAGCCCTGTTACAGTAAGCTGGCATGGTGGCACAATGTACACCACACTTGCTTTTCCCCAAGACAGCAAGATCAGTTCAATTCCATGAATCTGCCAATACTTGATTTTCTCCCATGATATTAAGACCCCCATGTATGCTTCCATCTGAGTGGCACCACCAAGAGAAATTAACATAAGTCTATAGGAAATTTCATATATTTTTTTAAATATTTTTCTTATTTATGACATCTGTCACATGTATACTTCCCTCTTTAATATTGCACTGCTGTTATCAACTAAATTTAAATAAAAGTAGGACCTTATGAATACAACACAATTTAAAAAAAAAAACAGGACCTCATGAATGTTTTTAGTCACAGGCTGTTTTTTACAGTACACATGTACATAGAATAACATACATGTAAGACAAAATTTAGTTGTGACCAAATAATTTTGGCACATAGATGCATAGGATCACAAAACAAATATAATCGAGTGAAAGCTGATGCATCCTCTCTGGATATTGTAGCATCTACGTGCTTGATTATCAATTGATGATTCGTCGGATTTAACCTTGTTTACCAATGGCATGCACAGGCAACAAGCACACTTTGTCTATAACACAACTGAACTCAAATGCAAAATATGTGTTACAACCAGATGAGTTATGTCCCTTGATTACAGCACTAAGTAATATATAGCTTATGCATATAGATACCACATACATCCTACACGCTGCCTCCCTCACCTATCCCCATAGCTGTCAACCCTCCCTCATTCGGAAGGAGACTCCCTTAATTTGGACAAAATTTAACAATTTCCCTCACGACTCCCTAAACTCAAGTCCATACTCACACAAACTCAAAATCTACATCCTATCAAATGTGGTCACATGATCACACATTTTCGCCCTCAATGGAAAATTGGAAATCTGTGGAATGAGGGAGATCTTCCTCATTGGAGGTTTCAGATGTTGACACCTATGCGACCCCTAACAACTCCACCAAAAACATTGTGATATCTGTTGTTGTAATTTTTTATATAAAATGCACAAGATAAACATACTGGCTGGCACTGGAATTCTTTCTTTGGGTTTTGGTCTGTCCTTGTTGGATATGACAGATTCGTTCCGACTGTAGTCATCATTGTCTTCCTCTTCTGTCAATTGTATGTGAGGAGTTTGGTGTGGCCCTGTTTGACGCGGGGAGGTGAAGTCTAACGTACTGTCCCAATCGCTGTCACTGTCCGCACCGTCATGCTGAGAATGCATCCCTACAAATCCTGAAGGAAAACAAACTGAACATCAAAATATTGACTAAGTGTATAACAAATGTAGTTGCTATCCCAAATTAACATCTTACTGCAGAAATACAAGATTTCAATGCATATTTTCCTCTGCTTCTAATCAGTATTAAAGAGACTCTGTATTTCCATATATAGAAAGGGGTGTGGGTTGTTTTTTTTTTGGGGGGGGGGGGTTTTTTTTTTTTGGGGGGGGGGGGGGATTCTTTTTTCTAGGACTTATTATATTCATCAACATACGGATAAAGTTTCAGAAGCCTGTGATAGGACTTATTCGGTGAATAATTGCTATCTGAATCATATAGGCATGTCCAGTAAGATGGAGAAGTTGAGTTAAATAAAATACTAACATGAGTTTACCGTTATATCAATAAAACAGACCACAGTCACAGACTTACAGAGAGTAATAAGATCTGGTAGACGGAGCAAACGTCAATATCATAGAAGTTAAACGGACAAGCAAAATACATTGAAAAGCATCATACCAGTGTTCTTGAAATCTTGCAATGGACCTTATCTAAAACGGAATCAACAGGTGAGACAGTGCAAACAGAGCGAAGACATCTACATGACAGTCAAGTCAAAACAAGCGTCTGTGTGTTGCTAATATAACCATCTAACTTCCGGGTAGATAACTCCTGAGAAGACTGAAAAGTTAGGTAGTACACCACAAAACAATGTCTTGGATAAGTTGTTTGTCAATTTCTCCGTTGTATTTTTCGAATCGCCTTATAATCTGAGTGGAATAAGATAATAATAATATAATAGTTATCAAATAATAATAATACAACTAATAACAATAATTGATAATAATAATAATGCTGAAATAAAAAGAAACTAGGACATGGACATGAATAGTGGCACGGGACTGGGTTGATCGCAGTCGACCATGCACGTGAATACAAGTAAGCTCACTTATGCAGAGACGTTTTTTTTATTCATTCTAATTTGCAATTTTTACGATATGTTACCTTTTTGTCAATTTTTCTGTATATCAGCTTTATCGACTGCTTATTAAAAACATAGCTTTCTTTACTGCTATTTGAGTATCAATTTCAGAATTTCAGACACATATGGGGTTTTTCTTTGCTTCAAAATGTAATGCTAGATTGGAAAGGAAATATAATCAGGGCAACTATTATTTGACTCTAAACCAGTTTAACTACTGTATATGTATCATTTTCTGCTTATAGGCCTATCGATCGTTTATCTCCCAATATGAAGAAAAACGGCTCACCTTTTTGGTACAGTTAATCAACAAATACCAAGTTCAAGCATCTGACAGTGTTCGCGTTCTTTTTACGGAACCACGAGCCAGAAATATCATCTTGTAATAGATATTTTTAGAAAATGTCCCGTTTATGGCGGTACGCACACTGAAATTTGACTTACAAATGTAGAGAGTAGAGCAACCAAAAGGAGTTTTTATTTGGCTCAGAGTAACTTCAAATTTCACAAATTCGCTCTCATTCTCAAACTCAGACTATATGCTCAAGCACAGTTTCTTATTCCAGTGATGAAGTAATACAAAACAAAATAAACCATCTTGTGGAAGATTTGGAAGACGTTCGGGAAGATTTATAGTCGACTTCCATTTTCTATGTCTGGACTTGACTTTTTGACCATGTCACATGATTTACAACAAAGTTTATTTTAGAACAATATCCTAACTTGAGCATGGAAACGATTTTCCTCGATGGCAGCAGGAAGTCCAGAATTTTATCTTGCAGATTTTCTGGTTTTTTTTAATTTCTGTTTTGATTTTCTATATTCTGTAAAATACATAAGGACCTACGATTTTAATAACAAATATTTGACAATATTGACAATTTCGTAATAATACCTTGATTTGAAGCGGGTTTTTTCTGATGTTGACCACGAGTTGTCTTTCTTTGGTCAGTAGCTCACTTGAATCTAGAACTGGGATCCCTGTCCTATACGGTAACCTTCCCTTAATTTCGTATTATATTAGAGATAACTGTTACATAGTTGGGCCAAAGCACCTCCATTGATCAGGTAGCTTAGTCGATAAGTTTTTCAGTATGAGGGAGGCTTACAGTTGACCATAATTCTTTAATATCTAAAGCAAAATGGGATTTTTAAGAATCTGTTCGGTTAACAAATCGAAAAACAGCGTACTGTTCACTTTCCACTTTATGAGTCAATTGACGCCAAAGACATTCCAACTACTATGTACGTGAGGGAAATTCGAAAACGACTTTAAAAGGTAAAACATAATCTACAATGGACGGACAGACAAACGGATAACGCCCTATCAGAATGTATATTCCTGTTGATACCAGAGCGTATAAAAACCCCATGAACTCAGTTGTATAGCAAGGTCAGTTTTTAATGGTAGGGTAGGAGTTTATTTAAGCACGGGAAACATGTTTAGGTTCCAATTTCAACAAATTAATGTTTAAAGATAAAACCAGACAGTAGTTTATTTTTTTAACGCGTTTCGTTTCCCAAATTACAGCGGTTAATTTCAGTGGCAATTATATAATCGCTAAAAAAAATCCCAAGAAGTATTATTACCTTGCCATTATGGCCCTCGTATAATATGCTATCCTATGGGGGAGGAATGGAACTGTATCCTTTTGCGGTCAATATTCATCATTATTAAACATTATCTGTATAACAGTGTGTTTGATTGGGTGATACTGTTTGTCACATAGCAGGGTAATAAAACATAATGTCACCCTCAGGCTCTCAAGTTTCCCAGATCATATTTCCCTTATTCGGAGCCTCTCTAGAAAAATCAGCAAGAGCCACCACTACCTAGTTCCGAATGACGGAAGCAGACGACAAAAATGGCGCATAAACCTGATCATCTCTACTATTGTGTTGTTGTTGTTTTTTTCTTCTCGCCCTCGTTAAAAAGAATTAACCTCTGAGAAACAAAGAATCTTGTCTTCTACAATAAGGACAATACATGTACTATGCAGCTGTGATACAACAGTTGTAAGTTGTTCGGTGGACGGTGTACAGATATATATTTTTTGTTATCGTCGTTTTTTCGAGTTGTCTTTCGTTAGTCTCTCCGACAATATGCAAGTTTAACTTGATGATGTTTAATTCTTAAGTAGTGTATGCCTCTCAAAATATTTCTAAACGTTCCCTCGTAATAAAGATTAAGATGGAAATCAGCCATGTTTGATTGACAGCTTGGCTCACTGATTACATGTCTGACTAATATAATTTTTGCTTGGAGTATTTTCCCTTCTATAAAAACAAGGAGCAACCAAAAGGATTCTTTTAACTGGCTCAGAGTAACTACGAATTTCATAAATTCGCTCTTATTCTCAAACTCAGACTTTGTGCTCAAGCACTGTTTCTTATTCCGGTAATAAAGTTATAGTAATTTACATTTCGTCAATGATTCAGAAGAGTTTTTGACAGACTTATAGCCGGATACAATTTCAATGTCTAGACTTGACATGTTGGCCATGTCACATGCTTTATGCAAGTTACAATAGCGTTGGTTTGAGCACAGAACCCTTATTTGAGAATGGAAATGGTTTCATGAAAATGGACCCTGGTTTAATCTCTCGATGGCAGCAGGGTTCGGAGGTCATAATTTGATCTTGCAGTTTTTCTGGGTTTTTTGGGTTTTTTTTAATATCTTTATTTTTAATTTCAAACATCACATTTCGCACAACCATTATTCTGGAAAACGCATAAGACATACGATTTTATTAAACACTTCTTTTGAAAAGAGCGTTAACAAATATTTGACAATATTGACAATGATAATCAACCGGACACTTGTTGTCTGCGCAAGCTTCAAAGATATCATTTTGTTACGTCAGAACGAGGCTTAACAGAATTCTGGTAAGTTATTTCATTGGTCAAAAGAAGACACACCCTTTTCAACTTTTGAAGGCAGAATTGGAGTGGCTCAAAATTGCATTGAATATTTTCATTCACAAAAAACACTTCCCTGTACATGCATTCCTAAAGTATCCGTGTTTGCACTATTAATCGAAAAAAAATGTAAGAATTGCTTCAAATCTCAAGATGATTACATGTATTTTCATAAGATATTTTACAATAATTTATGAAGCTAACAAGGCTATTGATACAAGTCACGCCAGATTACCTGAGTGAGAACCTCTGTTGTGTTGAAATCTCACTTGCTTTGCATGCTTTTTCCAACCTCAGTCAGCCTTGTTGGCTTTGTGCTAATTAAGTTGTGATTTATTCATTGGAAATGTATGGCATTATTCTGGAGAATTGATACATTTTTCCTTCGTTGTTCTCGATAATAGTGAATACACGGATACTTCAGGAATGCATGTAAAGGTAAGTGTTTTCATTAATTTCCTTATTCTTTGAAATGTTTTAACGTCGTTGACATTACGAAAACGAAAGTAAAAACGCTGTCCTCTAGTGATGGTAATTTTAAAGTACTGAGTTTGACCAGACTCTAGTCTCGTTCAACCAGACTCTTGTTGCACAAGCTACGCCGAACAGATGGAACGAGGCTATTTAACCTTTTGTTACCGTTTACCATAATTTGAAGAGGTTTTTTTTCTGATGTTGACCACGAGTCGTCTCCCTTTGGTCATTAGCTCACTTGAATCTCGAACTGGTAAAAGCATATTAAGGATCCCTGACCGTCTGCACTGTAGTTTTTCGTATGAACACTAGTCTCCCCTTAACTTCCGTTTAGATATAACTGTAGAACAATTGGGCGAGAACAGTTTTGTTGACCGGGTAGCTAGCTTAGTCGGTTACAGCGATAGCATATTAATCCAAAGTCCAGGGTTGGAATCCCGGTCTAACTTCACTGATGTTTTTTACACTGAGAACGCTGTTATTAAATGATTATTTTTTTAGTAACTTAGAATTTCATTCATCTTTATCACTGGTTTCATAAAAATCCCGCAATGTATTGTTTTCTTTTCAGAAATATTTTATCAAAGATGTAGTCTTGCTGGGAAAGTCAGGTTCCACTGCACAGTTACAGTTTTTTGGCAGTGGTACAAGGATCCTTAAAAAATCACATTGAAAATTATATACGTAACAGAATGTGATGCCTTTTTACATTACGGAAGTGATTGTATGTCATTATTTGAATTGATGCCTAATCTAACATCACGACCGGGATCAACTGATTTAAAAAAAAAAAAAAAAAAAAAAAAAAAAAAAAAAAAAAAAAAAAAAAAAAAAAAAAAAAAAAAAAAAAAAAAAAAAAAAAAAAAAAAAAAAAAAAAAAAAAAAAAAAAAAAAAAAAAAAAAAAAAAAAAAAAAAAAAAAAAAAAAAAAAAAAAAAAAAAAAAAAAAAAAAAAAAAAAAAAAAAAAAAAAAAAAAAAAAAAAAAAAAAAAAAAAAAAAAAAAAAAAAAAAAAAAAAAAAAAAAAAAAAAAAAAAAAAAAAAAAAAAAAAAAAAAAAAAAAAAAAAAAAAAAAAAAAAAAAAAAAAAAAAAAAAAAAAAAAAAAAAAAAAAAAAAAAAAAAAAAAAAAAAAAAAAAAAAAAAAAAAAAAAAAAAAAAAAAAAAAAAAAAAAAAAAAAAAAAAAAAAAAAAAAAAAAAAAAAAAAAAAAAAAAAAAAAAAAAAAAAAAAAAAAAAAAAAAAAAAAAAAAAAAAAAAAAAAAAAAAAAA